TCGGGCAATGAGGAAAGCAACAACAAAGCTTGAAGTTCATCCTCCAATTTCATCTTCATTCCGGCTAGTTGGTTTACCACACCTTGAAACTCGTTCATGTGAACCACAATGCTATCACCATCTTTGTATTGCAATTTAACAAGCTTCCTAATCAAAGAAGCTTTTCCCATAGCATTGTTCCTCTCGTACATGGATTCAAGTTTCTTCCACATCTCAAAAGCATTAGTTTCATTAGCAACATGTTGCAACATACTTAAAGAAACATATTGTCGGATTGATGCAATAGCTTTCCGGTTCAAGGTAGTCCAAGCTTTCTCATCAACACCTGTTGGACGTTCTTTATACAAAATTGGGTCAAGCAAATCTTTATAGCATAAATAATCCTCAATACAAATTTTCCAAATTGAATAATTCGTAGAGTCCAAACTAACCATTCCTTGAACAATTACTTTGTCATCCATCATAAACAACACAAGAAGCCAACCAATAAATAGTCAAGCTCTAATACCACTTTGTTGGGGAAGCACGGAACAAAACACAACGGAAGCGTATAAATCTTTTCCCCAAATTAATGAGATGAATAACAAGCATAATGAACTCTGAAAAATCAGCAGCACACACACAAATAAATGGCAGCGATAATAAAATAGATGACACACGATTTACATGGAAACCCCAAATCAGGGAGAAAACCACGGCCGCTCAACAATGGCTCCCAAACTTCCACTAATCACCAAGAATCAAGTGGGTACAACAAGTTCTCCTCTCTAGTAAACACTAGAGGCATACACAATCATCAAGGAGGAACCTTGGAACAACAACAATCAACAAATCACCATAAAATGGAGTAAAAACTTCCAAAAAATGTAGGTCTGAAAACGCAGCTAGAAAACAGCCTTCCGGGCATCAAAAGAGGAGTATGTGAGGAACAACATACTAAAATTTGAGCATGATCAGACTTCGTTTGGCCTTCGATCCAGACTGAAAACGGGGCTGCTGCACAGTGTGGCGAGAATTCTGTTTTTTCTTTCTTTTCTCCTGCGTTAGCTACTGCCAGTCCTTCACTTTCACTTCTTTTTGCTTTTGTGCTACCTTATCTCTTTCTCTCCTTTTTTTTCATTTATTTACTATATGGGCCACCATAAAACATTTGGGCTAAAGCTTTACACACAAAAATAAGCCCAAATATAAAAGAGAAATATAAAGTGTTGTCCAATTAAAATTAAACACTTCCTCCATGTAGGAGGGAAATTTCCCAATAGAAAGGGACAAGACTACGGGATAGGTAGCGTCCGCTAAGCGACGAACCTCGATCAAAGGGCTTTGACCAATTGTATAGTATACCCTATAAAAGGGCTGAGACCCCTCATTGTAATGGATCCAAATTCTAAGTGAATATTGTAACGCCACGACCCGGATACCCGAATTTATTTGAAAATCCGACTCGCGGTGTTAACGGCTCTAACTTTTTGAATCCGTAGATGGAGCATTAAACAAAACTTATTTATTTATTGATAATATCAAACTATTATACATGCGGAAGCTTAACATATTCGTACAAAATATATATTTCAAAATAACATCTTTATTGTTATTATCTTTCTTTATGTCATCTCGTCCATCCTTCCATCGCCCTAGCTTTGTTCTCCGGTTCGGTCACTATTCTGTTTGTGTACCTAAAAAAAATGGAGCCAACCCGATCAGCAAAAGCTGAGTGGTACCAATTATAACAATAGGTACAAAATGTAATAGCGTGAACATATACTTTTCTCGAAATTCTTTACTTTGATAATATAAACATATTATTGTATAAAACTGTAGTATCAAGAAAATCAACTTTTCTTTTACTCTTTGTTTAACTAGGACTTCAAGTACTTCGGGTACAAGACGAGTCCATTATCTCCTTCTGGGGACTTCAAGTACTTTGGGTACAAGACGAGTCC